GCATTTTTGAATAGACATTTTTCCATAACCGCCCATTCACAACGCAATTTTAACCGAGAAGAACTGGCAAAAAACGCAACTGTTGCTTTTTTTCAAAAAGTTTTAAATAAAATAAACTAAAATATATAAAATAATTAAATTAAATATACATATATAATAATGAGTAGGGATATATATTAATATTAATACATGTATCACATATTTAGAATTAACAGAATTTTTCATTGTGCCTCCCACCAAATTAAATATCGCTTTTAGCGATAAGGTCGCCCATTGTTTTCTCATTGTGATTATTTCTTGTAATTGTTTATATTTATAATAAGTTTACTATTGTAATTTTTTGAAGGAAACAATAAAGAGTATCTATCTATCGATCTATCTAATTAGTGTGAATACAAACTACTTACGATGTATGATCGTAAAAATATACTGCAACTTCCAAAAGACGAGAGTGTCGTGTCTCCATATCCTAATATAATTTATATATATATATATATATATATATATATATATATATATATATATATATATATATAAATAATTTCATATAATTTCTATACCATATTTGACTTAAAAAAAATACTATCTTCAATATGTAATCTACTTTCTCTCCGTGTTCCTAATAATCAATAGGTATAAAGGGAAAAACCGACTGTCTGATCGACACATTTACCGAAATTGCTGAATCTAGAAATATGATATTTTGTACCCACACTCCTTCAACATAAGTGAACACTTAGAACGGATTTACGGAAATCCCAAGGGCAAAAAAGATAACGGGTTCGTGCGGTCAGAGCTACGGGAAAGGAGCTTGTATTCTATAAAAATGTATTGACGGAAAAAATATGGGCGTAGATTTGAGAAAAAATATGCGAGATAACTGCGTGGTCGTTAAACTTGGTCTTGTCTGGTTATCTTTACGCAATTCCGGATAACTCGCTTCGGTGGGTGTGTAGTTTTTTGTCTCCATAGATAATGGTACCATCGCTGTAAAGCACTAGAAATAACAAGACTTGAAAGGGAATACTGCTACAGATAATTTTGTTCATAACTTACAAATTTAGAAGTCTAGTTTCAATTAATTTGTCATATTTTACTCTAATTTCGAGAACATAGTGTTTTCTATATAATAATAATAATGTCTTTTTATTATTCAACTTAGAAAAGCAAACTGACGGTCCTCCTGATGGAAAATGGCAACCCTCGCCTATAGACATGAGCAGTACCATGGACATAACAGAGTATATTGTTTCGCTCATGATACCGTCCATGTGCTGCCATTCCTGAGGACTCAGGTGTTATTCCTCTGTACCATGTAAATTCAGACTTTATACAAAAGCCGTTTGCTTGGGTACCTCTGTCCCATTCATGTTTCAACCGTGAAACAGCTGTGTTTGCATGGTTGTGTTACAGTTTGAAGGGTGGGATATGGCAGTGAATTTACAGGGTACAGAGGAATAACACCTAAGTCCTCAGAAATGACAACGAATGGGGATATCATGGACGAAACAGTAACTCTGTTAAGCTGTTATGTCCATGCCACTGCTCATGTCTATACGCGACGATTACCACTTTCCATCAGGTGGGCCGTCAGCTTATTTGCACTTCTAAGTTGTTTAAAAAAACAGTTACACAGTCAGGTAATTTATTACATAATCATTATCATTTTCCAACGGAAACTGTGCAAAAGTCGTCAATATTCTGCAGTCGTCTGCTGAGTTGCCGTAGAAACATGTTAATTAATAACGTAATTCAACCGTAAAGCTGTGCAAGCACGACTGTATTTCGATTTGTAAGGTAGGATAGAGCAGTGAAATTACACGGTACGGAATAACAACATAATCCTAAGGAATAGCTACGCCTAAGAAGTAGTGTGAGTCAGCGTCTTCTGTGACGTCCATGTTGCTATTTATGTCCGTCATCCTCATCATATCAGCCTTTAACTGTCCACTGCTGAACATTAGAAGGTTTTGCCAGTAGTTGCCACTATTGACAGGCGGATTGGCAACCACAGTTTGGCTTTAGAGATGTTTTAAGAGGAACGCTGCTGCCCAACACTCGCCCTCCCTTAGTCGCCTCTTACGACACTTACAGGACGTAGTGACCTGGACCACACTGTAAATGTACTACGCTTATTTGGCATTTCACTATTATTTTATACATCTATGCTTCCTAAGCGCTGTTAAAGTTTTGTTGCGTACCTTAGATAAGGGACGTCGAGAGGTAAGGGTCGGGTACAACATACATTTATTATTACGATATACTTTATTTCTTTTAATTTTCATTTTCATTGTATAACTAGCGACCTGTCCCGACTTCGCACAGGTGCAAATTGTACATACAAAACTTCAGTAAAAAAATATCTAACTTAACTGAATCCTATATCAAACTTCGTTGCATGATTTAAAAGATCAAAAAAGATCAGAGCCGAGAAAATGCAAAATAGTGCAGAAAATCCACATTATTTGAATCACCAAATGTGCTTGTCTATTGTATGAGAATTTGCTCAAAAAAATGCCAACAACCACCTTTTGAAATCACACGTGCTCACCATCGACAGGGAATTCATCCTTACAAGCTTGAACCTAATCAGTCGCGTACAGTGCAGTTTCAGAGAAGTCTTCTACTGCGAACACTCAGGCTGTAAAATATGCCCCCAGTCGAGATTGTTCCTGGAAACTACAGTATAGGATTCTTCAATAAGGATCTATTAAGGTTTCTTCAGTGTCGGCAACGTGCTCGCGACACCCCTAGTGTTGCAGGCGTCCATAGGTTATAATGACTGTTTACCAGCAGACGAGCGGCATGCCTATTAACCACCTTTGTGATATAAAAAAAGTTACCAATCTTCTCTTTAGTGTGATGCTCTTAAATTATCTATTTTTTTTATATACAACTTAGAATGGCAAACAAACTTACGGACCACCTCATGGAAAGTGGTAACCGTCGCCTATAGACGTGAGCAGTACCATGGACATAACAGAGTATACTGTTTCGCCTATGATACCACCCATGCGTTGCCATTCCTGAGGACTCAGGTGTTATTCCTCTGTACCCTGTAAATTCACGCCATATCCCACCCTTCAAACCGAAACACAGTCATGCAAACACAACTGCTTCACGGTTCTACCTATCTTATCCTTGTTCTGCTTTTAATTATATACACTTACAACATCCATGGGAACGGAAAGAGTGGTCTATTCTATGCCGAGACCACACGACTAATTTCATTGCCCTATCCAAGATTAATAGACGCGGATCGTGCTTTTTTAATAATTTAGGAGTATTATGGTCTGTGATATTACATACCATTACACAGAATTAATATTATATACCATTTATTGATATTCGTATATAGTAGTGTATGTATTTAGTATATTTAATTGTATGTATTTGTTTATGTAATATTAGAGTATTTACATAATTTTCAGTTTTATGCGCATGTCTTCACGAAGCACTTCATTCTAACTTGTTGCTTTCGTAAAACTGGCTTAGTATTTTAATTTAATTTATATTTGTAAATCACCGTGTCTTGGAAATCTCGTATGGACTCCCGCGATACAGGTTCGCCTAGTGCGTGGTCCAATGTACTCGCTGTTGTAAATTTTTTGTATTTAATAAATAAATAAAAAATAAAATATTTATATTTCATTAAAATTTGTAAAATCGTTATTTCTTTACAAACTTTTACAATTATAATATTAATAGGTACTTGTAATGAGAACACCTAACTGGCTCGTCGTCGCATAACAAACTACTAAAGTTCTTAACCCAAATTTACACAGTAAACGTTTTGTATTGTAGATAAAGGACAAGAAAGGGTATTTCAAAATTCATCCAGTAAAGTACACCCTTGGTGAGTAATAGACAATTGAAAGTTTATAATGGGAGTTTGTCTATTTGAAACTAGAGACATATAAATTCGTATTCAAGCTTCTTGTAAAAGAGGCGTCTCTCAGCATTATTAGAAAAACATCATACAAAAAATTTAAATTTAAAATATATTGCACATACGAGAAGTATTTTACTTATTAATCGTAGTTGGAGTTATTAATTAGATTTTTGGTAGAAACAGAGAGTCAGCTATTCGACTTTAAAGGCAAGTTACAGCCAATTCAACTGATCGGTCATTTTAAAGCATTTTATATGTGATTCTTTAGATTGATATAACTTCTTTATTTATGAACTGATTGTAATAAATCAAACACTGAATGTTAAGTCGAGTAAATCGCAACGCATTAGTGAAAATCGCGTTCAAATCGATTAAGCCGTTTGAGATTAGCGCGCACAAATGTACAAACAGACAATAATTTTAAAAATCATTGTTTCCTACCCTACAATAGTTTTTCTTATATATCTTCCATGTACAGACAGCAACCAATTACGATTTTATTATATATATTGATAAATAAATAAAGCAAAGTATATAGTTATGCCATAATTGAAATCTATATATATATATATATATATATATATATATATATATATATATATATATATATATATATATTACTCGTAAATAAGCAACGGCATTTAAAAAGTGCAGTTTCATGAGTATTTAAAATGCAAACAGGACAAACTGTGCAGTTTCATGAACACTATATGCAAATTGTTGAAATGGATTACAAAAATAATTTTAAAATCAATTCAATATCAGCCAAGTATACAGGTAAGTTTAGCACACCTGCAATGCCGCTGGTGTTGTGGGTGATCATGGGCGGCGGTAGTCACTTACCGTCAGGTGATCCGCATGCTCGTTTGCCCCCTGTTGTAAAAAAAAAAGTAATCACGTAGCGTATATTAGAATTTATTATTTTAACATTTCTATTTCGGAATTCGTTTAAAAACACAATTCACCATTGTGTTAACAGTCTAATATTATTGTTGAATAAAACATACACATAGTAGTATCTATAAGGTTATTACGATACCCTCCCGATTAATTAGCCCTAATTATCTTATTTATGTACATAGATATGTTTCTAACATTAGCTGTCTAGACGAATGTGTCAATTGTACGCAAATAATTAGATGGAATATTAATAGTATTATAGATTTAGTATTACTTTCACCAGAGGGAGACTTTGTACAAAAGTCGATTGCTCCTGAAATGTCCCATTCGTGTTTCAACCGTGAAGCAGTTGTGTTTGCATGGCTGTGTTTCGGTTTGAAGGGTGGGATATGGCGTGAATTTACAGGGTACAGAGGAATAACACCTGAGTCCTCAGGAATGGCAACGCATGGGGGGTATCATGGGCGAAACAGTATGCTCTGTTATGTCCATGGTACTGCACATGTCTATAGGCGACGGTTACCGCTTTCCATCAGGTGGGCCGTCAGCTTGTTTGCCATTCTAAGTTGCATAAAAAAAAAACAAACTTTTTCTACATTTTGTGATAACAATGCCTTCTAGTATAAATCAGAATACTGCACTCGTTCATACCAATTTTTCATTTTAAAATTCATCTTCATTTCACTGTCCACTGCTGGACATATTTTTTACCAAATAAGAGGAGTTTTGCCAGTAGCTACCACGCTTGGTAGGCGAGTTGATAACCACAGTTCAGCTTTTAGAGATATTTTAAGAGGGACGCTGCTGCCCATCGCTCGCTCTCCCTTAGTCGCTTCTTAAAACACTCATGGAAAGAGAAAGGGTGGTGAAAGATTCAATGCCAGGACCTACACGGCTTTCTGTAAAGAATTTAAAATTTTAAGATTATTTCATTAAAAATTGTTTCCTTCAATCTTTAAGTTGAAGGGTTTAGGTTTTTTTTTTTTTCGGGTAAAGATTGATATTGTATTCGGCCAATTTCGGCGCGAAATTGATTTCGGCTTAGCAAAGCTTTAAAGCAGTAAATTGTCCAAACCTATAACCAAAATAGAAAGTACATAGACTATAATGTAAAGTACATAGTTTATTTATCGATCTACATCATAGAGATGTAGATCGATAAATAAACAATAATTGCTAGTGTTTTTTGATAAATTTCTTATTTTTTATTATAGACAGGATTGTTTTAATAAAACAGATTTTATTTTTAAATACCGCTGCTACTTATACATTTATATATTTTACTATACAAATTTGATATATAACATAAACTGACATAAGGTTTTAGTTTTTTACCTCGATTTAAGATTTGCTCACATACCCGCTCCCTCTTATGTTCTTGGACATCAGTCTTAAATCATACGATGATCATACGACACGCCAGGCTTACCAACTATACCACAAAAGCCGGGACGTCCCGTTTCTTCACCTTAAAGAATGTGTCCTGAAAAAAAAAACGTATTATTTATTAAATTTGCAAATTTATTTTTTATGACTTTTCACTTTTCTGTACTTGCCTGGAACGTAAAATCTGGAACATTTGTTTTTTTAATTTGATTAATTTTTTAGACATTTGTAACCCGTGCACTAAAATTGGCAACCCTAGATGTGACGTAAAACCTAGTGTAGGCTCCTACATTTTATTATTGTCTATGGGTGAAAAACAAAATGGCGGACCGCGCGCAATAAAAGTAAATAACTTAAACAACCATTTCATTAATGACAGGATGATATTTATTATTTGTCTTACTATTCTTATTTCAAAATAAATATAACGTATCGATAAACGACAAGACGTCTCGTAGAAACGTTACGAACACGTTTGAAATATTTGAATTCAGAACGCGAAATCGAGTGTGATATAATAGAAGCTTCTATGGTCACAAGGTAAATTTAAGCCTAACATTGAAATAAATCCTATTTCAAATAAATTATCAACATGGCTTCGGTAATGATGTAATATTTAAATTTATTTCCGGGACTCAACACGACGCGAATACAGGTATACAGTACCTATATACATAAGGGAACCTAATGGTAGAGAGATGAGAAGCAGCGTCCCTCTTAAAACATCAAAGCCTAACTGCGGTTTTTTTTAATGGTTGATAATAGAATGGTAACCCTGCCTGCGCTATCGTAATGCGCTGGCGGGACACCAGTGAGGGATGATAGGTGAAGATGAAAAGGCAGGTCAATTAGCCCATAGTGGCAAATTCCACTAGAATTAACCGCGATGGTTTCCAGGGGCAACTGCATGGAGGTCGACCTGATCCTAACTGCGGTTGACAACCTGCCTGCCAAGGGGGAAATGGCATTGTTAGTAATACGGACTATCAGTCCCATTGCTAGCAATATACCCTATCAAGTCAACCTCAACGTAATTCCCCCTGGAAACCATCATGCCTAATTCCAGGTGTATTCATTACGATGGGCTAACTGACCTGCCCATTCATCTTCGCCTATCACCCCTCACTGGTGCCCCGCCAGCATATACCGTTAGCGCTGGCAGGGTTACCATTCCATTATCATCAATTGAAAAAAAAACCAAGCCTGCCAAACGTGGCAACTACTGGCAAATCTCCCCTTAAGGGAATAGTTTAGCAGTGGACAATTAACATAAGTACCTACATACCTGACTTTTATCGTTGTTACGTACGGTGTTATGGTTATGTAAGACACAAAAATACATACAGATGAATTGAGAATCTCGTACTCTTAAAAGTCGCTTAATAAAATGTCTCGCGCGGCCGCCGCAGCGGCGTAGCCGCTCTAAATATCCCCACTACGTAATGTGTGTTGCGTGGTAGAAGCGCAAACCGTTTTTATCAATATATATTTTTTTTTAGTATAATTAATTACATGTTAATTTTTTTATCTAAATAAAATGCCTATGCATTTTAATATAAATGATTACATATAAAACTATTTTTTTAAATTAAATCATGAAATTTTTCTAAATAGCTTTGAAAGCATTATTTTGGGTTGAGAAAGTGGGAGTGGGAAATACAGAGGGAGACTTTGTACAAAAGTCGATTGCTTGGCTACCTCGGTCGGGTCGGGACGCTAGTTCTTAATAAATCTATTGTATAACTTTGTTTTTTTTTACTGAGGTAGTTTTCGCGACCCCCTATAGAGACTTCGCTACCTCCTAGAGGGTCGCGACCCACACGTTGATAAACACTGCTATAGGTGATAGAATTTTTAATGTAAGTTATTTTTTTTTTTATTTATCCATTACAAATAAAAAAAAATTCTTCAGTACATGTTTGTGCATAAAATGGACTTCATACCAAAAACATTCTCTCACAGTCAACCTTATCTCTTTTAACTTAATCTTTTCTCTTTGTAATAATAGTTTAAACAAGATAACAATGCTATTGTTATTTTTTCTATCATTTGTTTATATTATTAATATCTTTATTAATTTGGTAATATTTAATAATTTAATTCCATTTCAAAATTTCCAAACACAAAGCATGCTGTGGTTGCCTCTTAATGTAAGAACAGTTAAACCTAATCCACTAGTGTAACGTATTGAAATGCTTCGCTATATCTTATGTTGGTGATCCTATAAATAAATAAATATATGTTTCTACCATATTTCGTACTAAAACCACCGTATTTCCAATAATCTTCGGTGTACAGTACCTTTATTTATTAATTCATTAGTACATATATGTGTACATGGCGGACTTAATGCTAAAAGCATTCTCTCCCAGTCAACTGTAGGGAAGTGTCTGAATACTCGAATGCAGTACTAGTAATTATTGATATATACTTCTTTCACTTTCTTCCACGCACAACCACTCTTTGGAATCAACTTCTAGCAGCAGTATTTCCGAACCGATACGACAACATAACCTTCAAGAAAAGAGCATATTCCTTTTTAAAAGGCCGGCAGCATACCTGCAATGCCGTAGGTGTTGTGGGTGACCATGGGCGGCGGTAGTCACTTACCATCAGGTGAGCCGCATGCTCGTTTGCCCCCTGTGTTGTAAAAAAAAAAATATATACATACTAAAATTACATATATAAACATATACATACTAAGATTACATATATATATATATATATATATATATATATATATATATATATATATATATAATGTTGGCAAAACAACATATTTTTGTATAGACTTATCAAAATCCCAGGATATAAAACCGGAGACTGCCTTGCATGTTTCCACATATGCAAGATAGACGAGTTATTTATATTTAATACAATTGTTATTGTTATTTTATATTTTAATCGCGAATTTGTATCGCTATCAGGTTCAAGAGGTGGCGCCTGCGGGTTTTATTACATAACATATATTATATATAAATATCAAATTAATTTATTTCAATTTGCAATTTTTTTTATGACTCTTAGAAAAGCAAACAAGCTAATGGCTTCAGTGAAGAAAAATGGTAACTAATAACTTCAATAACTAAAACAGTACCGTTTTTTTATTTTTTATTTTTTCATACAACTTAGAATGGGAAACAAGCTGACGGCCCATCTGATAGAAAATGGTCGTCGCCTATAGACATGAGCAGTACCATGGATATAACAGAGTATACTGTTTCGCCCATGATACCCCGCATGCGTTGCCATCCCTGAGGACTCGGGTGTTATTCCTCTGTACTCAGTAAATTCACACCAGCTGTTGAGTTTCTTGCGGATTGTTATCAGCAAATAACACATTCCGAACTAAGTAGTAGAATTATAAAATTAATGGTTTTAAAGAGCTTGTAAACAAATCTTTTTTAAATAAAGATGACTTTACCAGAGGGAGACTTTGTACAAAAGTCGTTTGCCTGGACACCTCTGTCCCATTCGTGTTTCAACAGTGAAGCAGTTGTGTTTGCATGGCTGTATTTGTGTGTGTGAATTTACAGGGTACAGAGGAATAACGTCTGAGTCCTCAGAAATGGCAACGCATGGGAGGTATCATGGGCGAAACATCATCAATTAGCCCATGGTGTTTTTTTTTGAATGCATGAAAATGGTATGGTAACCCCGCCTGCGCTAACGGTATACGCTGGCGGGGCACCAGTGAAGAATGATAGATGAGTATGAAAACAGGCCAGTTAATCCATCATGATGAATTCATCAGGAATTACCCATGATAGTTTCCAGGGGGAATTGCGAGGAGACTCGACTTGGTTGGGTATATTGCTAGCAATGGGATTCTTAGTTTCCGCTAATAATAATCCCTTTTCCCCCAGCCCGGCGCGTTGAATTTTACTAGAATTAACCACGATGATTTCCAGGGGGAACCGCGTGGAAGCCGACCTGATAGGGTGTGTTGCTGGCAATGGGTCAGTCAGACTCCATTACTAACAATCCCTTTCCAGCCGGTAATAGCAGTTAGGCTTTGGTGACATTTGAAAAGGTACGATGCTGCCCCTTCCTCCACCATTATTAATACACATTAAATACAAATTCAAGTTTTTTGTTTTGTACAACTTCGAATGACAGACAAGCTGACAGCCCACCTGATGGAAAGTGGTAGTCGTCGCCTATAAACATGAGCAGTACTATAGACATAACAGAGTATACTGTTTCGCCTATGATACCACCCATGCATTGCCATTCCGGAAAACACAGGTGTTATTCTTCTGTACCCTATAAATTTACTGCCATATCCCACCCTTCAAACCGAAACACAGAAGCCTATTCTTTATATATTTTTTTTTGTAAAATCCACTAAATGTTACTTTATACTTTTTGCCTTCCTAAGTGGATATTCTTGCCGAAAAATATGCATGCCAAGTTCTACATTCACCATAACGGCAAGAGTCGAGTACCTCTGCCTACCCCACAAAAAAATTATCATCGTGAGCATATTTTTTTATTATTATCATCTTTATTGTGGACGCGATGTAATAATTACATTGGATAAATCTGTTTATCTCGCTAAGATGGCGCAAAGACAACCCGTTATCAACAATTATGGGTGTCAAGCTCGTAGACCGATATGTGAGAGGTTATGAGATGAATGGGGGCTATCGCGGCCAGGAGTTACAAAATTGTGGGCTGGTAATCAGTTTTAACCGACTTCAAAACAGTTTACAGTATTTTAAATATGACATCCAAGCGGAGAGAACTTTTTAAAGTACTTTTTTTTATACCACCGAGGTAGCAAACAAGCATACGGCCCACCTGATGGTAAGCGGTTACCGTAACCTATGAACGCCTGCAAAACCAGAGGTATTACGCGCACGTTGCCGACCCTGAAGAAACCACTTTACCCCCCTTTTAAAGAACCCCATGCTGTAGTCACTTGGGAAATTATTTACATAACCTGAATGTTCGTGGGAAAAAATATCTCTGAAACCGCGTTGTAGGCGACCATTTAGGCTGTAGGCTATGAGGGTGAACTCCCTGTCGATGGCGAGCCGTATGATGCTAGAAAGCGGCCGTACTTTGATGGAGAACTTGAATAAGGCCCTTCTTTGGTACACCGTTACTATAATCATATGCCAGCAACGCAAAACGTAGCAAGTGCTAGTTGCTACTCTTGAAGATATCTTATTACACCCTTTTTGAAGATTTAATTTTATTGCTATGGTACGCAATTCACGTCAGTATGGTCCCGGCATAGAATAGACCACCCCTTCCTTTCCCGTGAGTGTCGTAATAGGCGACTAAGGGAGGGCGAGGGATGGGCAGCAGTGTCCCTCTTAAAACATCTCTAAAGCCTAACTGCGGTTGCCAATCTACCTGCAAAGCATTGCGACCACTGGCAAAACCCCCCAAGGAGGAGGCTTATGTTCAACAGTGGTCCGATAATGGCTGATATGGTGATGATGATGAGAACCAACACGAGCAAAACTTCAAAGTTGAGCTACATAGTAAAACAATCTTTCAACAATCGTGTTTCAAAGTTTCTAACATTGTATTGTATTGTAAAATCTTTATTGTACACAATTCATATTGAATACATTAAATGATTTAATATACAATGGCGTACTTATCCCATAAAGGGATCTCTTACAGTCAACCTTTGAGAAGCTGAATGAAAACTGTAGAATGCACAAGGGCAATAACCGTACAATTAAACTAAATAATACCCAGTTAAAAATTTAATATATAATACAATAAAAACAGCTCTGTATACCTACATATGTAAATAATGAAAGTACATAAATAATAATATAACATTAATACATAAATAAATAAAAACTGACACACATAAATACATATTGGTCTTGAGACCAATATGTTAGAAACTTAACCTAAATATTATCTTTCAAATTGATTAGCATAAGCTAAACATTACTTCAAGCTCTGTATGCTACAGTATACACTAAAATTATACATAGCTAACAATGTACATAGATACACATTTCTTATTTGTGACATATGTATTAGTGTGGCAATGTAATAATACACACATTATTACGTATGTAATAATGTGTGTATTATTGTTATTTATAAAATATTGTTTTTCCTATTTTCCAATTTAACAAACAGAAAAATTTACAATTAGCTTATTGAGAAATGTTTTTATTCATTTGAAAATTATTTTAATGTAAAATTTTTATCTCTACGTTTCGACCGGCTTACTCTGACCGTGGTCACGAGTAAACTGAGAGCGCTACGTCTTGTGTCCACTTCCGAGACATAAATATATCCTTCTACCCGCACATATTTCCACATGAGTAGGTATTTTACCTAATTTCTCGCGTATATTACTTCTAAGTCTCTTATAAAACATAAATTTGTGCAAAAACATAGGTTTCTATGCCCTACTTGGCTTCTGTCGTGATGTAGCTATATTTACATAGCTGTATTTCGGTTTGAGGGTCATTTCATTGCCACATCTGAATATAGAAGTAAAATTTGAACATAAGAGAAATTACACTATAGTGCTCAGAAATGCCACCGGTATATAAGAGGTAATATGGACAGCACAGTATATTCTGTGATATCTATAGGCGATGGTTACTACTTCGTATCAGTTGGATGGTTAGCTAATTTGCCATTCATAAATAAATTAACGTTTTACTTAAAAGGCTTTTTTGTCCTTCGAGCAGGATACAGTATTAAATATTTTTACCAACACAAAATAATAGAAAAAAAAAGTAAAAAATTGCTAATAGAATATATTTAAAAATACAATCGAACAGATAAACCTGCTGCTTTTAAAACAGTTGCAAAATAGCGACCCACAATTGATAACCCCGGATAGACATTCTGCGTCTCCCGACGGCGGGACCTACTATCGAGATTGTACTACTCGAACTGTGGCGGGCGAAATACATATTGACTCTCTTATTGTCTGTGTGTAAACATTCTGTGGCTGCGATTGGATTTGCACAAGTAGGTGTACCTTATTATCTTGTATATCGTTTTGGTTTCCGATACGAGTGATTTGTCGATATTAATTAGTGTTGAATGTACCACCGTCTTATGCATATTTCTGCCAAAAAATATTTATTAGTGTATTATTATTTTGATCTTGAAGGCTATTAGGTGTATTTTGTTATCTGTATATTGGGTCTTTGATGCTTGTGATTTGTTGATTTTCATATTAATTAGTGTTGAATGTACCACAGTCTTATGTATATTTCTGCCAAAAAATATTTATTAGTGTATTATTATTATGATCTTGAAAGCTATTAGGTGTATTTTATTATCTGTATATTGGGTTTTTGATGCGTGTGTTTTGATAATTTTGATATTGATAAATGTCGAATGTACCACCGTCTTATGCATATTTCTGCCAAAAAATATTTATAAGTGTATTATTATTTTAATCTAGAAGGCTATTAGGTGTATTTTGTTATCTCAATATTGGGTTTTTGATGCGTGTGATTTATTAATTTTGATGTTGATTAGTGTTCAAGGTCTTTATAGATATATTTTTTGCTTTTAAACAGCAATGAGTGTATTATTTTAATTTACTAGGGTAAGAAAGTTAGTACTTTAATATGATTACATCTAAATAATTACGCTAGCTTCTAATCATGACTTCGTCCACTTATCTGGAACATTTTTACAAACCGGAATGTAAAGTATCCTATATCGTACTCTATCTCATATACTTATATTATATAAATAGAGTATCGAGTCTCAAAAACGGGTCAACTTTTTGTCAACTAATTGTCAAGTTAGCTGACTCATTTTTTTATCAATGTTCTATATACTTACGCACATAATGTATTTTGACGTAACTATATTTAATTGTTTATTAAATAACATGTATTTTTACGCATTAAAGAGATGCATAAATTATAAGACAAAATAAATATAGAAGTTATGTAGAAATCACTCATAACTATTTATCACGCAAAATTGTATGAAAAAGTTGATCCGCTTTTCTCGAAGCATATATATATAGAGACACTAAGATCTAAGTTCATATAGTACATGTATACCAAATTTCATAATGATTGGTTAAGCTCTAAAGTGTTATAAAATAACAAACAATAAAACAAAATTACTTTTACCTTTATAATATTAGTACTTATAATAAATATATAATTTTTTAGTGTAGAAAATTAGTAGGTGTACCGTATGATCTGATATTGGGAGTTATTTGTTAATAGAATTTTAATTTTGATTTGTGTTGAACATTAGTGTATCATCTTTATGGATATTTCTGCCAAAACACATTTAATAAGTGTATTATTACTAATTGTCAAGCTGTGGGTGTACCTTATTGTATATATAAATATAGGTACATATATGCGATATTTCAGTATGTGCTGTAGGTATTTAAATAGAATGTCAAAATTGAAGTTGTTACATGCGACACCGAAAATGGCGGATTTTAATATTGTTGACATTTTTTTTTTTTATCTGTTTCAAAAAGAAGGGGTTCAATTCGTTATTTTTTTTATGTTTTTCACCTCCGTCAGTTCTAAACCGATTAGGATTTTCTTTTTATATATATTATTAGATATACTTACAGTTTATTACCATATAAATTTTATCAAATCGTTTCAGTAGTTTAATTTTAAAATCAAAATTTATTGGTTTTGCTGTAATTGAAGGCGGTTTTTTTTTGTGCAACAAAATCTTTATTCGTTTTAATTTTGAATAAAATAAGTACTTTATATTATTCTCAATTTCGTGTATAATATAGTATATGTAATATATGTGTACGTATATTTGTTATTTATTTATTGATTTATATATGTAATTTTAGTATGTATGTATATCAATAATTACTAGTACCGCATTTGAGTATTCTGACACTTCCCTATGGTTGACTGGGAGAGAATGCTTTTTAGCATTAAGTCCGCCATGTACACATATATGTGCTAATGAATAAATAAATAAATAACATGTCAACCGACAGCACGTTTGCGGTTTTTGAGAACATTTTAAAGTTAATCTAAACATATATAATCTAGTTATTAAGAGAAATACAAAAAATGTTGTCGTTGGGAATTTTTTTAGATCCCACCATTGGATCAACCCCTACAAGCTTTCTATATAGTAAACTTTACGACATTAAAAATCTATTGACTTTTTTAGTTAAGTTATGCCATCTTCTTGCCAAGTTTGTGCATAACGATACCTACTTGTACATCAATTAGTCCATTACCCTATAGTTATCCGGAAAAGATTGCTCTCAGCAATAAGACCGCCTTACTGTACTTATACAATTGTATCGTTGTGTTTGTAAATTGTCTTGCTTATTTCCTATATCGTATAATACAAATAAAGTATACTCATTCATTCATTTTTCGATTTATTCCTATGAACAGGCAATTATCCGATATAATCTAAATATTTGAAGATGCATTGTACATTATTTCAGATCGATTATCTAACGGCGCTGTGATAGGGAACTAAAAATTTAATCTTGCTATATGATTAGTAGTATCATTTTAAATTTCAATGGCAAAGAAGTTCAAAAGTAAAAATAAACAAAAAAGTTGATTTATGTGCAATTTATTCTTTGCTTAAAAGTTTAATTCGCTGTCGGAGCAGTTTTTAAATGAAAAATGACAAATATTAAAAATTATTCAATATTTTTTTTTTATTTTAATACCGATAATTCCAACGTTGTCACACATCGGTATAAGTACTCTACAACGAGAATTTTTAAGATAATTCTCACACACATGCACTACGTCATTATCATCATTTCAACCATTATCCATCCACTATTGGACATAGACCTCCTCCATAGATGGGACATAAAGAATAATATAAGCCATAAGGAACGGTCCTGTGCCACCTGCATCCACTGACAATGCTTGCAATGTTTTTGAGATTGTCATTCCATCTAGTCTTACACTACGTTTGCCTATATGCGATCACCATTCAAGAACTTTTCTATCTGTGCACTACTACTACTCAAAATTACACATTTACAGTAAACGGTCAGCATTGATCTATCTCGTTTGAAATTTACTACTAAATCATTTGAAATCATACTAACTCAGTGTAAATCCACACGTATTGCGTTCCTATACTTTCTTTAAAAAAATATTAATATATTTCAAATATTATTATTTTTTGTATATTATTGAAGTTTCTAGAATGATTCTAAGATAGTATCAAAATAAATAACGCCTTGACCCGTACAATCTTATTACGATAATAGGAAAATCTCAATGTAAGATTTAGCGTCCGAGACAATATTGTTTGTTAACAAGAAGTGATAATAATTCAAATATATATATTTTTAAAACAATTTTTAATATTATAAATAAATCAAAATCATTAGGCACTATTCAATGGGGACAGGTCAATATCCGTTTTTTTTAGGAAACAAAATTTTTAATCCCACCGATGTATATGGATAATATTAAAGACATCAAGTGTAAATTTAATTTTTTATACTTCTCGCATGATGTTAATATAAGTTGCATAGTCTCAATGTACGTTAGTGTTGTGTGTGTAGAATTGATGGCAGACGGTGTCGCAGACAGCTGTTTGACAAGTAACACTTACAAACACGTAATACCGCGTTTTATTTTTTATTTCATTTAATATAACGTAAAATATCTTGGTTGTCACAACCACTACTAACCACTATTTTCCCCCCTTTTTTCTTTTGAAACAAAATGTACTTCTCTAATATTTCGATAAAAACAGTTTAACATTTTTGTATATGTGTGCGTGTATAAAGTTACCCTACATTCATTACTTAGTACATGGGAGAAATTTTTTCTAAGATTAAATACAAAAATAAAGAGCAATAGATTTTTTTACGAATATTTTTTATTATATTATTATTAACTATTTATTAAAATGTAATGATTCATGTCTTTATTAATAACTTTCATTTGTATCTAAGTATTGGTTTACACAAAAAATGTTTTCTTTTTTTTTATACAACTTAGAATGGCAAACAAACACACACCCAACACCTGATGGAAAGTGGTAACCGTCGCCTATAGACACGAGCAGTACCATGGACATAACAGAGTATACTGTTTCGCCCATGATACCGCCCATGCTTTGCCATTCCTGAGGACTCAGGTGTTATTCCTCTGTGCCCAGTAAATTCACGCCATATCCCACCCTTCAAACCGAAACACAGCCATGCAAACACAACTGCTTCACGGTTGAAACACGAATGGGACAGAGGTACCCAAGCAATCGACTTTTGTACAGTCTCCCTCTGTTTCCATTATAATTTTAGTAAAAGTATTAAAAAGTTAAAGTTGGCAACCGCAGTCATACTTTAGAGATGTTTTAAGATGGACGCTGCTGGTCAGTCCTCATCCTCCCTTAGTCAGCATAGCAAGTTTTTATTTGTGAAATAATATTATTCATTTAAACAGTTTGTATTTATTTCTCTTATTAATTTAACTTAAAACAAGAGTATTAATTTTTCAGTAAACTCCGTTATAACTGTTATGTCAATACTGAATAGGAATTTATAATTTCGTGTAAATATTTATATGCGTTACTAATTGGCTACCGAGCATCCTAAAACAATAACGACTTAATTCCATACAAACAGAAACCTAAACTTTACTGTTAGGTTAATGTTACTAATTTACATACAATAATGTAGAAAGATCTTCATATCGAACCATCCGTTAACTGTCCACTGTTGGGTGGAAAGGGATAGTTAGCAATGGAGTTTGACAGCCCCATTGCTAGCAATATGCCCTATTAAGTCGATCTCCACGTGGTTCCCTCTGGAAGCCATCGTGAACAATTCTTGTTGCATTCGTTACGATGGGCCAACTGACCTGCTTTGTCCTCACCTATCATCCTTCACTGGTAGCATTTCATTATCACCTATTAAAAAAAAGTTTACTGTTGAACCTAGCCTTTTCATTAAGGGGGGTTTTGCCAGTAGTTGCCACGCTTGGTGTGCGGATTGGCAACCGCAGTTAGTAATATTT